GCTGGGTCACCACCAAGCACCTCCCCGGGCACCGGCACAGCTCACCGGGGCCTTTCATCCCCTGCCAGCCCCGCGGCACCATCCCGGCTCCCTTACCTCGATCTCCTCATAGCTGGCGGGGAAGCGGCGCTCCTCGAAGAGGACGGTGTGCTGGCGGATCCACTGCAGCAGCAGCGTCACCACCTCGTAGTACTCCTGCCAGCGCAGCTGCAGCTCCTGGGCGGAGGGAAGCGCGTGGGACCGGGCGCCCGCGGCGGGGGGAGGCTGACGCTCCCCGGCCCCCAGACTTACATTGGCCTTGACGCCGTCCTGCACCTCGGGCACGCGGGGCATGGCGTCGTAGAGCGAGGAGACGTAGGTGATGATGGACTTCTCGTCCGGCTGGGGCACATCCACGTCTGCAGAGAGGGAGGGTGGTCGGGCGGGGGGACGCGGGACCCCGGGTGGGGAGGGATGGGGGCTCTGCAGGGCGTCCCCCCCGCCATGACACCGTCCCCTCGCAGCCGCGTCCCCCTGCCCGTACCTTCGGGGTCCAGCAGGCGCGTCACCCCCAGGTCCCGCTCGGCCACAGTGAAGGCCTGGTCCAGGTTCTCCAGGTTGCTCTGGCGGTACACCCGGTTCATGTCGATCAGCATGGGCCTGCGGGCAGCGGGGACGGGTCAGCAGGGGTCCCGCCGGGGACGCTGCAGCAGCTGGGGGCAGGGTCCACACCGGCGGCCGCTCTCCCGCCGAGCCTGGCAGACGGCAGGGCCAGGGACCGCAGGCAGCGCCCTCTGCCCACCCTGCCCACGGCACATGTTTCTTGCAGGCGTTAGGTGCCAGTTGTTTGGAGAAACCCCAGGGACGGAGGGTCCACAGCTGCCTGCACTGCCTGCACCTCTGCCAAGCCACCCCGCACACCCACACCAGCGGCTGGCGAGACCCCTGCACCCGGCCCACGGGCACCGGGAGCCAGGGACACCCTGACGGCCCCGAGCACGGACCCCGGAGCAGGCAGTGCCCCTGTGTCCCCGTGGGGCAGGCAGACACCCCAGCCCGCCGTGGGGCAGGCAGCAGCCCCAGCCGCCCCAGCCCGGCGGGGGGTCCCGGCCCCCGGCCCAGCCCAGTGCCTACAGCTCCCTGAGGCGCAGGCTGTGCTGGACGGAGTAGAAGGAGCCGCTGATGCCGGGGGCCGCTGAGCACTCAGGGACGTCTTCGCAGACCATCACCACCCCGTTCTCCGCCCCCAGCAGAGCCCGCGCCGAGCTCGCCGCGTCGCGGTGCCGCGGCTGCTTCTTGGCCCGATACCACCCGCTCCGCTCCATGGCGGGACCAAGCTTGGTGCGGCAGTCGGTGAGCTCCTGCCACGGCGGGCGCTTGGGGCAGAGGGCGGGACGG